CCTGAGCAAATTGTATGCACACACGCACGCACATCCACACCACTGACACTGAATTGTTACTGTATGAACCCCCTCAGTTAGTCAATGTATATTCTTACATTATGGTGTCAATGCTCATGGTCATCCGCCCGACTATCACCATCATTACTCACATGTGTCGTCTTTTATCTCGTTTGAGAGAATGATAGCAGAACCTTCTAGTTGGGGCAGAGTGTCAACAATTTGAGTGCATGTGTAAGGTGCTGGTGGCGGTCTGTCCTTTCAGTGGACGAGTACCGTTGACTGAAAACTGCAAGTCATGAGCGTCTGCCGGCTATCCGGATGATAGCAGAACACAGACTACACGCTGAAGAAATAAATAGAAGATAAACTCACTCAAGCCACACAGTGAATTGTCAGCTTACCATCGATGTTTACTAAAAGGATGCCAATGCTCCTCAGAACGTAGTACATAAAACGCCGAAATGTCTGGGCGTTCCTTTCAAGTTGCGTGATGCTAGTTAGTTTTGGCACTGTTAATTCAAACCAGACATGAACCTATACGTACAGATGACCTGACTTCTGACTGCAAAATCTGTACTGATACACCGGTGTAAAGGGCTTGAAAAGGCTCAGTGATACAGGCCTGTAGTAGACAAATGACAAATATCTGCTGCAGGCGCAAATAGCGGAATTAGTTCCAAACATGATTTATTCAAGAAGACTCTGGAATACATAGGCTAAAGTAACAACGTAAATCTGAAAATACATTCCAACATAACCGTAGCTTTGACCATTTTAACTGCACACCAACGACGTAAATTTAAAAAAAAAGCAAAACACCAGACTTTAAGGCGATTGAATCGGAGCTCTTGAGACATCATTTAGCCTTCCTTCTCTTACTGGCTGTGAATCATGGCCGTTACCGTTTACACACCTCGATAATGACAACATTTCAAAGATGCAATCGCCGCCAATAATTGACGCTTCTTGACTAATCCGTTCATATCCTTCATGACAGGACTTTAGTTTGAAAGTAAATAAACTCCAAAAACAGCATCATGGTATTTACCGTAGCACTAAATTGTGCGAAATGGAAGTTCGCAAAATAAATTAATTCTCTTTTTTAGAAACTTATAACACTTAGAACTCCTTGAATTGTGATTCATATCGCTTTCGACATTTCAAATGGCACTCAAATCTAAACAACACAAACATGCCGCAGTTCAAGCATTGTGTGAGAAAGGCGATTACCTTTGTACTTCAACACGCGCACAGAGAGCCAACCAAATTCAACCAACTTTCTCCAAATCTGCGCGCACTCACGACCACCACATTCAGTTGAAATCTGAGCTATTCGAGGGATTCAGTTCAAAACCACCACATCCCCCCTCCTCTATTTACTTCCCAGTATTTCGATAGTCGAGCGCTGTCCCCAAGTAATCTAGAAGAACCGCACTTCGTGTCTTTTCTATCACAGCGCCCGGGTTGACCCAGTGACATCGACGCCAGTCTCACGCTGCACTCCTTTGCACAATATCCGCATATCCCTACCTATGAAATCCCAAGGGGCGCATAGCCGCGCCTTTCTGATACGAGGCCACTTGCAATACATCTTTCAACTGCAGAAGTGACACATGGAGATTAATAACATCAAATGTATGAGAAGTAGTGGACATTGTGAAATCAGACACTGAATTTTATCCTGTCGTAGTCATCGCCACTTTCTGACTTGATTCAAAGCCCACTTTTTGCGTTCTGATATATGGTTGATTTTTTAATGTGTTCCTTATGTATGTTCTTATTAAACTGTGCAGCGAAACTATTGGTCTGGGAATCGCGTGATCGTGTTTTAATGCAGTTGATTAGCCTCACACATTTACTGCTTATGAAGTTATCATTACGATGCATAATTCTAGACGACTTCTACTGTAACTAACGCTATCGATGTGGTCGTCTCCCACATATCTTCTCGGCCGCCAGCAAACACTGGACCGAATTCCGTGACCGAGTTATTGTTCCATTAGTGGCACTGTTTTTTGCATATATAGCGACGTAATTGGAATGTTTGAGAAATTGTACCGACTTCATTTGTATGCCCATTTCAATCCCAGACTCTTGTGCGCCTGATCGTCGGCGCCGGAGGGCACACAAAGCTGTTTTGCCTGCAAGTCCCACCATAACCGCCCACTCTCTCCACCTGGCATTAGACAATAATTCGCTTAGCACATGATTTTCCTCATGGAAATTTAGGTCTGCGTGGACTAACAACTAAACATTTGCTTGACGAACACATGGCTAAGTTTCTATTCATGTTTAGTGATAAACCCTTACAGTCTTGCTTTTGACAAACAACAATGCTCGTGATATGCGGACACCCTAAGACTTGACCTATTCAACCCTGCGCCTATGGCAATGCGTTAGATACGACCACTCCACAAGTAATATAGAAGATCCGTGCGTAGAGTCTTCTCAGTTGCAGCCCCTAAATTGACTGTTTAAAACAAGCGCGAGTCTCACTATGCTGCCTTTATGGTTTAACCCAGATATATCTACTTGTGCAATTACTAGAAACTCACAACACGCTTCCATGAGTTCCAACAAATGAATGTCTTCAATTAATTAGAGCAACAGAAGGAGTAGCTCCAGAAATAGTAATGAAATTAAATATTCAAAAATCAGTGGAAACCGTTAGGATAAATTGAAATTACAACGGGCACATAAAACATGCACATAGATATGCTGAAAGTCATTACCACCTTCTCACTTTACTCAAAAGCCATTTTTTCACGTTATGAAAAACTGGCGACCTCTTGATAGCGTCCTTAGCCACCTTCATAGCAGCTTTCTTCATCACGAATCTGACAAGCACTCTCCAGGCTGATGGACTGAGGACTTTGTGATCTCCTTTGTCTGTGACGCCTTCCACCACTACTTTTGATGTCGGTATGGCCGAGGCGTGGTTAAGGAAGATGAGCAGTACAAGCATGGCTCCGACCATCGAGGCAAACCTGATGGACATCTTGGAAGCGAATGTGCTTTGTGATGTTCAACCCGGATCTCTACTACCGTGCGATAACGAACCACATATTTATAACATCCCGAAGCCCCACCCACGTGTGCGTGTATTTACCGAACGAACACGTCGTAAGCATAGTTGCTTTTCACGTACTACGTCGAATGCATTTCAAATAAGAACACTACTAATGTACTTTTGGTTGCAGAATGCAACATTCAAACGCTCGAATGCGACCTTTGGAGAAACTGAGTTAAATCGTATTCTCCATTAGTATAAATAAATAAAGCAAGCGAGCGCGGCTTACCGGTTGGTTGAAATGGAAAGATCTTTGGCGTAGTTTATGGCCAAGGGATCGCAATCGAGACAATAGACAGTAATATCAGGACATGCAGACAATAGGGCTCGTGTGTGCCCACCGGCACCGAAAGTGAAATCCACAAATACCTGGAGTTTAAGAAAAGCATTCGAAAGAAGTCTGTGCCTGTAGATGCCTAGTTACTTCGAAAAAATGCGATGTGCTTTAAGGCCGTGGGTTGAAGAATAGTTGACCAGTGGTTGACGTTAGATTACAGTCGCAACAGAATAAACCAATGACCCACATGACGCCTGCATAATGACGCCTCAAATATACATTTAATAACCGTATATGTGTGAGGTTACTATCACTCACGACTTAATTTATGCACAAACCCTATGGCATTCATGGCTGAGACACTCTTACTCATGATTATTTCTATTCTGCCAGCAAATATGCACAAGTGCTGTCCGGACTGTGAGAGCGATGGGGTCTGTAATTTGGCAAAATTAACCTTCGCTTAGCTGTGCCATAATCGGTACGCCTTACCTGATACAATTGACTCATTCGGACGCCTCATTCACAGTCTGTGGAACCACTACCCGTGAGTCACTGTTGCGCATGGAGTAGTTTCCTGTGATAGAATGCACGACGCATTAATTGTTGTTCTCTTAGACACAGGTGTCTCTACCTCTGGGTAACAACACCAACGCCTTCTAGCTAGTCCAACACCTGGCCCGTAAATACTTGAACTATTTATTAACCGTGAATTGCCAACCAGGAATGTGTGTGGGTTTTAACAGATTTCCAAAATACTCCAATCTTAGTCATTCAAACGAAGCAGATCCCACAAGTGGGCCTCCATCCCGCGACATTGGCGAAACGATGGCACAGTGTTGAAACAACTATTATTTGGCATGTTGTGCCAGGAGTTCACGGCTGGTGGTGCTGTAACAGTTTTGAGATTTGTTAAACTTGGCTGAGCTGATAAGCCCGAATGACAACACCCAATATTCAATAAACAAATTCACGAGGCGACGGAAGAGGTCCAACTAAATCGATATTTGTATTTGGGCTATGCGCGTCTAAAGAGAAGTGATTTAGACGCCCACAGTAAGTGATTGTTAGGATGTGAAGGCGACGGAAAAAGCTCAAATATTTGCTGTCGAGATTAGGCAGGAACATGGGAGCAAGGTCTGCCAGTTGACGTCTTGCACGTCATTTCCGTGCAACCGAGACGGAGCTGCGGGGAGATGTCCCCCAGGCAATCTTGGATGTCCTGTAATTTGCCATAATCAATATTTGCTAAGCCGTGGCATAATTGGTACTTCTTAACTAATACTGACTCATTCGGACACCTTATTCACAGACTGTGGAAACACATTACATTCAAGTGGAACCGGTCCAAATAACAGTCCTTAAAAATTAAACGTGCCAACAACACCATTCAACAAATTTACACAGTAGTGCACGACATTGGCCCAGGAATGGCACATCGATGAAACCACCACTACTGTTGCTGCTGCTTGAGCTCCCACTTTTCGACGCTTTGCTGCGTCAGTCAGAGGCCAATTCTCCAGACCACGCATGCAACGCGCTATTATAAACACAGTTATTGCACTGGACAAATACGAACGCTAGCTTGAGTAATTAAAACAAAAAACGGTGATCAATTTAGAAGTTCTGTCAATCCGAAAAATATGAAATCACCAGCATCATCAACTTTTGTTAAATACAGCCAAGTGGTTTGTAGGGGACACAAAATATTGAATTTGTCAAGTGCAACCACCCAGACACTGGTATCCTTCTCCATAGTGATTTGGGTGCCGCAAACAGCCATCTAAATAGGCACGTGCTACCATGCAAGTGACATCCATTCATCTGGCATTCAGGCATAAACAGCGAAATTAAAATGAAATACTTGAGCAGGGACGATTGTTCAGTGATGTGATCAGCAAAGCAATGAAGAGGAAATGTAGTCACGCGGATTTGGTAAAGTGACACTTGAGGCAAATAATCAGTCTGTCCCCACCCTACTAAGCCCTCCCAAATCTTGTGCTACCTTGTGCCTCGACCGATAAAAATTGACTCACGTCGCTACTACAGTGATCGGCATTACTGGTCAAGGGTGTACGAAGGCATGGGGACGATGTCATCTGTATGCCCTGCAACTCTTCGAATCCACGTCTTGAATGCCGGGTGTAACGACACCAGACCTGAATTCAATGACTGATAAATAGAATGATCTCAAGACCATTACAACGAAGAAGCAATTGGTTGTGATTGCACTGACTTGGATACAACACATTAGACTTATACTAAACATAGTGATTATAAGGTGACGATTAAGCACATGAAAATCGTGTACCATGCACATTTCCATCCACAGGCCCCCGTGGATGCAGTCCTGAGTCGTAAGACGGTATTCTGTTAGTTTTTAAAAAAGCCAGAAAAAATGCGTTCTTTCATAATATGTTAGCACTCTAAATTAATATATCCACAATAAAATAAGATTGCATCCAGGGTTAATCAAAAATCAGGTGTAAGTAAAATTGACGCAAATTTGGCTTGTGTGTCGGCCAAACATAGATTAATATAATTGCATTAAAAAAAAGACATTCACCTGACCAGGTTGTGGTTGCAAGTAATGAATCACTTCGTTAACGAGAACCGGTGAATGGGGCCAATCTTTCGTATTTAGCAGCACAGAAGATGAAAAAGACTTTGCGAAGGCATGGCGACGAACCGTAAACCTCGACCAAATTTTAAGAACCTATCAAAAGGCATAAAACCAAACAAATCGACTACCAGGCCCACTCATTACAATTTTAAGATTTTTAAAAAAGTACGCGTTAATTTTAACAGAAAAAGCTACAGTTTTTGCCCGGAAACACCTTCATGAGCAAACTGAGGGGAGGAGATAGCAAACGCATAGGTAGGATTAACTCACACACATCTAGAACTTCTATTGTCGGAATGAAGCTGACACACAAAAACTGCCTTCCCTGTTCACGTGCGTTGTCACCACAAAATGCAGCTTCACCAAAGACGATTACATACCACAAAACGTAGTTAGGGGCATGAAGTCCGTGCTAGCATACTACGTCCACACATTCTCCTTACTTTACAATCCAACTAAACCCGCTTTTCCAACTAAAATAATGCACATCTACTACACACGCACTACTTCCAAACAATTAGCAGTCGACATTTACTTCGCGCGGTTGATCGCCACAATCCAATCAACAGTTGACGGCTTCCTACAACCGGCTCATCACAACACACGGCAACATCCAGTCACACCGTATCCTCATGGCCACATCACTTCTCATTCCACTATGAAACACACAAACTACTTAGTCGACATTTCAACACTGATCACATCTGCTGTCCGCGTCGTCTAACGTTGCAAATGCATCTCCTAACACAACTTGGGTCACAACACAAACCACCATGCTTGTCTACTGCGGCCCCCCTTTACACATCTCGTGGTTCTACAATCACGACAATCGACAATTTTGGACCCTGAACGCGTCACTTCCTCTGATCCATCCACACAAACCACGTACCATCACGTGCATCAACCCATGACCTTCCGCCTTCTAACTGTGCGGTGCACATGTCGCGAACAACATCGCCGACAAACCATGCCCCGCGAAGTTGGAACAACCGCTTCACCACACACACACCATGGCATTCCACCACAAATCACAACATTCCCCGACACCTACTTACTTGGGCCAGTAAAATAACAAGTCATTTGAACTAACCCCCCATCCCATCCGAACAACCATTTCATTCAACACTAACTGTCTGTGGACACCAACACATGGGAACTACCAAACAAACCGCACACACACACATCTCTGCTATGTGACCTCACGTAGCACCTCTCTTCCAGGTTTGCTCCGAATCGTGCCTCGTCGCCTGGGAGGACTGCTTCTGAACTTGGCTCGCACATAACGATCCATCCACGAAGACGAACTATCAACCACATCCTCACGAGCACTAATCACATGCGTGAGTGTAACACCCTAAAGACAACTTCAGCTACGTCCGCTCACAACTGTTCAACACCACATGTAAAACCACGAGAAGTAACATCCGCAGCAATTTTCCCATTTTGAACCTTGTCAAGTGCAAGCACACTCCTTAAGTCCAACCGATTCTCCACGTAGCTGTTAGACTCTTACGAATACTTACGCATTCGCAAAACTCGTTAACATATAGCGGATTCGAGAAAAGTTGAGAATCCCTTGCAAGCGTTTTGAATTGTTTATCCACTAAGGCGCGCTGCGTCGACCGGAACATGTGGTAGTCTGATGGGGATAAGTCTGGTGAATATGCCTCGTGAGGAAGAACTTCCCATACCAAGTTCAAAAGGATCTTCTGAGTCGCACAAACAGCATGACGTCGAACGTTGTAATGCAGAAGTATGTCTCGCCTGCTACCTTGCTCATTAAATGGCCTTCTCTGGTTACGTTTTTCGCTCAGCTTGTTCAATTGTCGGCTGTGGCATTGCGCAGTAACCGTCTGACCTGTTTCCAGTTCGTAATAAGGTTCACCCTTCATGTCTCACCAGATACAAACGGACCTTCTTCAGGTGGATGTCCTGCTTCGACGTCGATTTATGGGAATACTCAGGACCTCTCCACGGCCTCCAAAATTGGGATTCTCGTAACAAAAAATGTTCTTTTCGTCACCCGTCACAATTTTCCACAATTCCTTTTTTTGTTGCCGAACATGCACTCACAGGCATGTGTTCATATGTTGACTAAGGTTATATCGGTCAGCACATGTGAGAACCAACTTCCAAGCTTTTGAATTTTTTCCATTTGGCGCAAAAGCTTGGAGATAGCTGTTTGGGTGACTCCTACCTGAACTGTAAGCTCTTGTTGCATTTGCGTTGTCTTCATCCAGTAGAGCTTGCAATTCCACATCTCCTCAAATTATTGTGGCTTCGCGGAGCACGACTGATCACTAAGATCGAATTCACCACTTCTAAAACGTTTGTACCATTCAGTTCACGTTCCATAAGACAGCATGTTTGAAACATTTCCCGTGTTGGAATTCGTATAAAATGCAGCACCGAATGTGCCGTTTACCAGTTACCGTAGACTTATCGTGTTGTTCTAGGAACTTGGGTCTGATCGTTTCGAAACACGTGACAGCGAAAATAGTAGTTCTCAACATAATTGAATCTCAAAGAAAACATCTGTAAAGAATAAGTCATATACCTAATACTTCCTTAAACAACACATTGTCAACTAACTTAGGTCGGTATGACTGAAATGTGTGATGACCAACTGAAGTCTGCGTGATTGGGAACTCGACCACCGGATATTTGACAAAAAAATCAAAACACCCAACGCACCCTTTGGAAATCCAGCTATTCTGAACCAAAAATTACCCATACGATCCTGTTAAAATTTATGCTTAATCTGCCGCCACATCGATTCCATGCGCAAGGAAAATTATTTCTGAGGTTGTCCCGAAATAAACTTAAGCCCATTAGCTGCTTCATCATGAACTTCCTGAACGGTCATCATGTCAGATTGTTAGTTGCAACAAAAACGCCCAATTTAGATAAACTGCATTAGTCGATCATCGGATAGTTCTAGGCCGTAGAAAAGACAGACTGGTTTCCTATGCTTGTGCAATCTCCAATATCATTGATGAATTAAAAACCTAAACGCATTCACTCAAACATTAAAGGCAGATTTGGTCCAAACAATTTATTCACGATATTTTCAGATATTTACTGTTGTGAGGTGCTTTTAGATTCGCGAAGGGATCGGCTACGAGAACGCCTTCTTTCGTCGCGTGCTTGCTTTCGGCGGACAGCAATGAGCTTTGCGTAATCCGACTCAAGTTGCTTCCGGACGGCGATTCGTTTTTTCTTAAGAGCCCTATGCCTGCGCTTTCTCTGGAGGCGAATGGGAGTAGTGAGCCGCTGGATTTTCGGAGCTTTAGTGCGAGGCTTTTGGCCTTATAAAACAAAAACAAATTAACATCACACAAGTAAAAAATTGCAGCAAAGAAATAGGTTCAAGCCATACCTTCCTTGACCGGTAGTGGTTTACGAACCACAAATTGGCGAACATCATCCTCCTTTGACAAGTTGAACAACTTGCGGATTTTAGAAGCACGCTTTGGTCCAAGGCGTCTGGGTACGGTGACATCTGTTAGCCCAGGAATGTCATTCTCGCCCTTTCTGATCACAACCAAGTTAAGAGCGCTTAAGTTGCTATCAACAATGCAACCACGGACGCTCTTTCGTTTACGAGTTCCCTTTCGACGCGGGTTGTAGCATTTGCCTTTAGAAAGAAGCAGACGAACACGACCATTGGTGAGAACACCTTGCTTCATGGGAAAGCCCTGCTTATCATTTCCACCGGTGATCTTTACGATATAGCCTTTCCACTCATCACCAAGAAAGTCAACAGGCATTTCGGTAGCCATTCGTTTGTCGTAGAATGGACGGAGTTTGTGGTCATCATCAATCTCCAGACACTTCTGCGTGCCATTAGCGGGGTAAGCAACGTTAACCTGGATCGAAAAAATATAAGCAGCATTAGGGATAAAGTGAATGGCTTAACAGCGTAACAAAAGCCCCTGAATATCACGTGAATAACACTTTTCCATCAGTAAACTAAAGCACTGAACCCCTAACCGACTAAATAGACGGGGAAGATTAAGCATTATAGCTCTAAAGGGTGAAACAGCGAACGCTTTGCATGCCTACGCAGCAATTTTAATGGATAATAATTACAAAACTATTCTCATTGCAAAAACAAAGTCGCTGGTGCCCTACTTATTACAAAGGGGAAGAAAGAAACACGACAACACACCTTCATGACAGAAACAACAGCCTCATGCGATTTACTGCAACTGGACCACTGTACACATTAAAACAAACTTCTTCACAGGTTTCGAGTTATTTGCATCAAAAATTTGTCCATTTAGTATATAATACTGTCAACTTTTAAAAAGCGTTTAAATGTATTTTTCGTTGGTCTTTGCGTTATTTTACACTATGATTTGTAAATGGTAATTAAATAATGATATCAAGACATTTTAAAATCGTTTAGCATGAAAAGTTCCAAATATTATCTCATTTTAATTTCCACCAACTGTAGCCACTCGTATTACTAACTGCTTAACGGCATATGCAGACAATGCTAATGTTGGGCTGTGTTAATTTAATTACAGATTTTGCCTGTCTTCACACTGATTTCAAACTTCTTTTTGGGCATTAAGAGGCTATCCAAATTAATCCATGTTGCCAGAGTCGGTTGTTAATACAATAAAATAAACTAAGATTTTTGTTTTGCAGTTTTTCTAAACTCACGGCGATTAACATTCAAAGATTATTCTACTTTTCAAGCAACGCCCATGTGCAGCCGTTTTTTTTCACTCTAAAATTGAAATTTAGCATTTCACTAAGTTACCAAGAATTGTAGCATATTTTGTGCGTGCATTTTTATTCTGTAACATGAAGTTTAAGAACATTCCCTACATCATGTTGACACGTTTTGTTACCATGAGTGTTAAACGCAACTTTAAGTCCCATGGCAAGGCACAAGTTCCCCTTCATCACAAAACAAATTATGGCCTTGGTTTTTTCTGAAGACTGAACATTTGTCGATGGCCGCGTAGAGGGAAATGTATTGTGCATCAAATAATGATGATTTGTTAAATTTATATTTATTTGATCTCAGCATTTGACACCAAAGATGATCAACGCCAATATTGTTTTTGTAGAGAAAAAGTGTTAATTCTATCGTCGACGTGTCTATGATAAATTTCTTTAGCAATTACATCTAAATAACTTCATTTAAAAGAATTTTTCTTAACAATGGTTAAATGCATAACCTAAACGTTTCAATGTCCCCTAAGTTCTTTAAAACCTGGCTTTGATCTTGAAATGTTGCCTTATCAGTTAGATGGTTTGGATATTTCTGGTAGTTAAATGCTTGAATTTTTATTGTTAAAAGCAAATTTAAAGTTTGCAACATGATTGAAACCTGGTTTACTCAACACAGTTGCCTCCTGCGATTTTAAACTTTCTCCTCAAGTACAAATTCCCATGACACCATCTTGGGTGGGTAAAACTTAAGGTACACTTTAAAACATGACAACTTGTTTTGACGGTCCTTGTAGCATAGCACGCGCGTTGTGCAAAGCCGATTTTTCTTTGACTGTGTATTAGGAATTAGTGCAAAAGTGAAAGGTATTCTACCAATATCACCAACTGAGATATATCGTGGTGATAAACTTGATATCAACTTCATTAATTTTACGCAATTAATCTTATTAAATAAACTTTTCTAAGTATGTTTCTCAGTCTAGGCAGTGCATGCAAGTTTGTACTAAGGCGACCAAGTTTTGCACGGAAGTAAACAGTTAAGACTTGCCAAACAACAGGCCAATTTGTTTGAGCGTTTGATGATTTACCCTCAGTGTTCATATTTGGCTTTAACTTACGCAGTCTTTCTAAATTGGCTAAAAAATGGCGACGAAAGTGCCACGTCCCCATTTGAGAAGCACACTAACCAAGCATGTTTGTATTTGTTCAGCATGTCTGAAAAAAACCTAAGTTATAGGTTAATCGTACTAAGGCTTCAATCGTTAACTTTATTTTTGCTTCAAATTTACTCCAACTAACTTCAAAAATACTAAACGATGTTTCTAAGTCGGCTAAAGTCAACTCGAGTGTGTGCTTATTTGTGCGGTAAACGGAGGTTTTCTCGTTACCAGCATGCTTTCGTGTAGGCGGTGGGTTTATTCATGTGTCGACTGTTGGTAAAGCGTCCTATAATCTTTAAAAAGAGAAACTACTGATTTTTTCGGTCACATATATTAGTGAATTGATAACAACATTTAGCTAATCGTTTTAAAGACAACATAATCTCGGTATAAACAAAACAATGCGGCTCTAATCTGGCTAAAGTTCCAAAAATGCGTTGAGAGAGCAATGCAGAAATGGCAACGTGCTTCTAACGAGGAGTATAACGACACAAAGGTCCCAGGTGTGTCAAACGCCATACTGAAAGTTATCACAAGGGAAGTTTTCATAATTTCATAACTGGAAAAATGGAAATAGGGCCAAAACAATCAGTCACGCCACCATTCGGATCACTGGATGCTTGGAATCCATTAGGAACGCGATGACGCATTCGGCCGATCAGGAATCCGCGGAGCCGGGTTACTCGCTCGCCTACAACGAGAGTGTTTGATCCACATTAAGCATTAGGACTTATAAGTCATCTTCACAACATACACTCTGCTCCACAGTTTCACTAATCAATATAATAGCAAGCAACACTATAACAACTGACCTCTTAAGCATGAGTGTAATGTAAAATGCAATTTTATCAGAGCGCGTGTAGGGTTGAATATTAATTTAGCATTAAACAGAGCGGTTGTGTAATTATTACAACAAAAACATGCAAGAGACCTGGGTAATAATGATAGGTATGGGTTGCGGAAGAAAAATCAAATACCCGAGTACGCAATGGCTGTTCTAGATGCAAAATCAAGGCGTGAATAAAACCACAAGTCAGCTTACAATAAAATACACAGAAGCCATTCAGGGCAAGGCCGGGACAAACAGACAGAGGTGCTGTCTGCCAGCAACCTCAGGGGCAGCCGCCCCGCAGTTCGGTGGGCCGTTCGGCACCACCGAGGGGGTGTTCGCTCTACAACAAAAGGAGGAGCGACATGCACGCATTCACACACACGCACACGAGGCAACAACGAGTACAAAATGACAAATTGTGCTTGTTATTATTTTTATACAAGCTAGTATAGTAGTAAAAAATGGCAAAAAACACAGCTGAGGACACGCTGAGGTCCCACTAGCAGCACAACTTTTGTATTATAATATACGAAGTCATTGCGAGTGGAAGTTTGTACTTTAAGCTAACCACTTTGAAAACTTGATTTTGACCCTAACTTGAATTTTCTAAAAATTCTCATCTACGTACCTGCCATTTGACTAGAGGGCGCAGTCGGTTAGACCAGTTTTGAGCTCCACATAATAGAGACCTTTAACGATGATAAGGATCTGTCAGCTTCAAAATGTTACCAGAACCTTTTGGTGATAGTTCCCTAGCTTCTATAGGACATCCTTTAACAATCATGAATTGGTTGTGGGATATTATTTGACTACGAGAAAATAACAAAAAAGAGAAAGTTGTGCGTTAAGGCAACCCAATAATGGAGCTGTCAAATGCGTGTTCCTACTGTGCACAAATGTGTGCTTGAGCACGCAAACATGTGCAGTAAAAATATAACAAATAGTGCTAACACTACACGTCATGGTGATTTTCCTACTAAAATAGGACCGATTTAAAACATTTAAAACTACACCGTTCACTTTGCCAAGTTTGGGAAACTCAACAACAAACTTATCACATATTGACACAAGAAGCACCACACAAACTGACGTGCTACAGTTTGAGCGACAAGGAGACCTACTGCGGAATGAGGGGAGAGGGCAGGGTTCCGGGTCGCTGGGGTGAGGGGGTGGGTCGGATTGGGGCACCTGGGGGTTGCGGGGGTGGACGCCGTGTACCCCCGGGACTTCGAGGTTGTTGCACCGAACTTGCTCCACTAGGGGCAAGCCCCGACGGAGGGGCCAAGTCCGACAGCTAAAACATCAGATTGAATAATGTATTTTTAGGAGGCACGGTATTCAGGCTAGAAAATAACGCATAGACACTACAATATATCTTCGCGATTAGGTTATTGCTATCACTCCTCCACATAATGTAAAAACAAGAAGTGAAGAAAAGAGTAGTCTTCTCAGTTAAGAATACAGCAGTAAACTTCATCAGCCTTAACTTAGTCCATTAATCAAACTATGCAGACTGGGAAAGACAATTCATTATTTTTGACTCACTAAGTTCCAGCTGAAGACTTCCCGAACCCCCCATCTCTGAAGTTGCTTAAGGATGTAGGGAGTTGGCATGTATCAGAAAAACGGCTGCAGCCCAAAAAGCAAATCTGTTGATTGATTGGCTGGTAAACGCAGACAGCTCACTCAACCCTGCTGACAACCCCGTGACAATAAACTGACCTTGGTCCGATCAAGGGGTAATTTCAATCGCTACTTAAGCCGTGATTACATTTCCAAGGAAGCAGGTTATTTGGAGAAGGAGTATTTCATGTGTGAGCTGTGGACCCAAGGGTAAGTGGTGCCAGCAGACAATGAAAGTTCCAAACCAGCCACCAAGCTAATGGCGGAGGCAGCTTACGTGGGAGAGTGCACTGGGCATCCAGTCGTCGTTGACAGGGGGAGGCACGGGTGTTGAGACAGTGTTGGTGGCCACTTCGCCAACAATTCGTAGTGCCTCCTTCAAAGCCTCATACATGCGCAGGGTTTCTTCCCGTTTTGTTTGCGTTTCTAGGGACTCCGACATTAAAACTTGCTGTGTAAAAAAACAGTCAGTTTAATAAAGCATTATTTAATGCATTTTACTGTTTTCGTTATTATCTCGTTCAATCGAGCAAAACCAAAGAATAAACGGGATGCTTCCAGCCAACTTTGACTTGCTGCTTTACTTGCGGCCTACGAATCTTAGGTTAGTATTTACAAACTTTCCACAATCAAAACTCAAATTCACACCTATTACAGAAATGCTAGTATGCAAACTCAAAAATCGATTATCAAAGTTACTAGTACGATAACCAATAGAATCTACATGGATAAGTGATAGAGTAGAGATCTCAGTGACATGTCACAACTACCATGCTGCCGTCAAATCTGTGGATCAGTGGTAGCCTCGTGGTTCTATGTTTTAAATTGCATGACAACACAGTAGAAGTAGTCGCACTAGCCTGCCAAGGTTCGAATTGTAGCTGAAGTGCAGTCAGTGGGAGTGTTGAGAGGTCTTCCTAGTATCCGAACTTATAGTTACGTGAAACTAATGGTAGAGGAGCAAAATGGAATAATTTGTACTCAGACATTCTGTCTGCGTGCTTCCTGTACACTCTAAACCACTACTCTTTTTAGGTTGTTATGCTGATACTAGACACTCCTACAAATAGTGCAATGTAGAAGTCATTTTACTAGCGTGGTGTGGTCATGCAAACGAAGCTCACCAAAAAGCTACCGGTTAATTAAAACGGGCTTACAATATCTCCTGCCTGATAAAGATTAGGGAGAAGTTCACTTTTCAGGAACGTTTTCATCTAAAGTTAACAAGAAAAAGTAATGTAATCAACTAGAATCAATTGTCCATAACCGCTTGAAGCGATGTAGTAAAGGTGAAGTACCTGTATTTTTTAAAAATTAAATTCATTCAAGAGGCAACATTCGTAAACTAAGCTACAACAGCTTCGCCAAATTGACTTAATGATATATCGGCTAAGGAAGCAACTGAGTCTCAAGACAAAAAGACACGCAGGAAGGTCTATGCAAAAATAGGACTGAAATGATGAAACTTATGTAGTACAACAAGCCCCTGTTAATATTCCGCTATCATGGTGAGAAATATATCCCACAACAAAGTAACAGGCAAAGTGAATATATCAGCTGGTCTGCTATGAACCCTGAGCGAAGAAATCACAGCAGTCAAACATTCGGGTCAGGCGTGGATGAAGTTCACAGGAAATAAACCGGGTGTACATAAATTATCAATTTAACTCCGTACACAACACCACGGAAGCACCAATAAAAACTTACTTCATTCACAATTATATGCATAATCATCTTCGGCACCAAGTCCCGTTGAGTTTTATGTACAATCTTTAAGTATGACTCCACGAGGTTGTGGATAACTTCTACCTGCCGTTGCAATTGGGGATCGCCATTTTCTGGAAGCTGTTCTGCTGATAGCTATGAGGCGAAGTGACATTTAGTAGTGTGAGGCAAACTACTCCCGAAATTCTGAGGCATGGAAATATTCAAAACGAAAGGCGCCTCTAGTTGTAACAGAATTCCTATAATTCTCCAACTACTACAAGTTAATAAAACAATGTCAAATATAATGGTCTACAGGAGTAACGCTGGTTGCAAGCCTGGGTATTTAACTTTTGTTTCATTGAATTGCAATTTTTGATAATTTAAATGTGGGTTTGCCAACATCTGAGTCACCCCGTGCATGCATAATGCAGGCCGAAATTCGTGATTAGGGGTTCCGGTCAGTGCTCAAATCGCCGCTGCTTCGAACCAGACACGTTAATGTTGATGATGCGCGATGCACAAAATTCACCGTAGAGGAACATCTTCCAGGGATCAACTCACAACCACTTCAACTTCGTCGTGTGCAAATGTCAAAATTAACCAAAATAAAATAATGAAAGAAAATACTCAGAAATGAAGAAATCACGGGAAACCGTAAGTTTTCGCTGCCAAGATTTTTGTCTCAGGCGAACTAACTGCAATAATGACTTTCATTGAATGCGAAAACGCTTACGCGGCTTTTTCACATGGCTTAAATATCATAAAGTTTCGCTTAAAAACGAGAAGACAATCATGATTTTTATGATAAACTTCAAAACCGAACGCGATAAGGCAACTTTATGCTTACAAAATGATTAGGGTCTGTTTTAATTGTCACACGCCTTGTTTCAAAAATATGGTAAGATGTCAAAAGGGGACCATATTGACGCCGCTCTTATCAGTGTAGCCTTTTGCAGTCAAAAGAAGGCCTTCGGTATGGAATGAATTCAGTACTATAATACAGCCCCGATCTTACCTGAATTGGTAAAAATATGAAATCGCAAACCAAGATCCCACACAAAATTAATTGTGAAGCCATCAAGCGCATGATTGTCGCACAGAGTGCCGAGTTTGAGTCACATACAACGAAATGGAACTGTCGGCAGAATTAAAAATGCATTTCTGTGAGTCAATAAGGGCTGTTCTGAGTTTATCTGAATGTTCGGAGGTACCACTCAGGCAAGTAGATGAAATCGGATTCCGATCACCAAATTCTAAGGCAATTCTAAACTCGTGTGGGGCTCCCCAGAAAACAGTCTTGACTTGAAGCCTTGTAGTACATACAAGCACTCTAGCAACTGCCTGCTTCACATCGATTCCTGTAATTTTATTCGCCCTATTTTCTTGCATGAATCCTGAGTCAAGCTGTAGGGCTGACAAAATTTACTTGAATCTTGAAAAAACATACATACATGGTTTACACACTTATTTAGTTACCTAAAATCCTAATTACGCAGGGAAACGGTTAGTCCACATACAATGGCACTGACTCCGCTAAAGTAGGTCGTACATTAGAATTACATTTGAGGAGCTCCAATAGATTCGGGCCAATTAATTCGCCAATAGTGACAAAACTCCTATTGGGAGTAAGTTGTGAGCATTAAAAACAATAAAAAGATGTCAAAAGATCTCTTATTGAGTTTGGCTGTTGACGTCCGGAATAACGAACATCAATTTATAAAACCTCAATAAACAATTTGGGTGTGTTACAATGGCTATAAAACGTGAAATACAACCTAAGTTGTACTTTTCACAGCTAACACCTGAAAGGCCTGGATTCGAGTCAGGAGCCACCAGACAATATTCGCTTTCGGCAATAATGGGTAGCACGGAATTTTGGCTTTGCAAAAATTCAAAACGCCATTACCGCGTGTGGAAATGTGAGGGTTTCATGACTAAACAAAGTGAGCTCCACTCACCTCTTGTTGTTGTTGTTGTTGGAGATGCTGCTGAGTGGGTTTCACGGGGTGCACACCGGCGCGCATGAACGAGGCCTTCCAGCAATCCACCATTTCCGCTGACTCCGCGCTTAGCTCCAGCTGCTTGTAGTCCTTGTACACATTTCTACCATCCGGATAGAATAATGCAAAAACGTTCTTCTTTCCAAAGAAACTTGACTCTACATCCTTGACTTTCAGACCATCCAAAAGCAGGACATATCGCTTTTCCTTTTCCTATGGGAGTATGAATTAAACACTGGCAAATCACTACCATTTATGTTTAACTATGAGTAAAGATTAAAGGTTGTCTTTGGGAAATGATCGGTTTCTTAATTATTTATTCCACTGTAAGAAACAAAGGCTTTTATGAAACTTTTACCAACATGAGGACTTTCATCACTCAGAATAATCAGCGAGATCTCTACATTTTTGCACTTGCTGGAGGCTTGAAAAACCGTTTTAGTAGGAAACGGTGCTTGTAGCCGGGACGATAAATTTAGGAAAGACACGCATGCAATTGCTGACACAGAAACGTATGAAAATGAACAAATGCGTTTCAACGCAAACTTGGAGATTTCCGGGAAAATACAAGGCTAAAGGAAATTTAACAAATACTTCAAATGAAACACGTGAAAAGTAATGTGGAACATACATCATCATCTTTGTACCATGTGAGCGTTTCCGCATTGAGGACGAACCAGAAGTCTTTACTGCCACCCCGAATTAGAGCGATGTTCTGCAGACCCAACCAACCCCTTCGTATGACCTAGATGCAAAATCAATGTCATGAGTTAGAAGAATTACAACAAACAGGTACCGCTAGCTGTGGATGCGGCAACGACGACCACACAAACCTGGTTCATTGGCGTGCACAGGGGGAAACGACACCCAGTAATCTTTCACTAAATTCATGCGACTTCGCGTCTCCCATAGGAAAGGTCAAGGCCGTGGATAAACACTTTTCAGCTACGAAGAGGCACAAATGAACACCCTCTTTAAGAGGCTGTTCGGTTGGGTCATCATTTTAAAGGCAGAAGACCTGTCCCCTGCGTTGACTACATACCGCAACATGGGCCTCACAAGTCAATTGAATCACAGGGAGTCAAAACTCATTTAATTTGAATCTGTAATTTTCATATAAAGTTATAAATTTGGGCCCCGTGCCAATAATCTCAACAGGTCATCACTTCCTAATTGCCGAACTTTTTTTCATCTGCACATTACGAATCTCAGTGAGCCGGAGAAACAAGCGATTTGTGTGAACTGTGAGGGATGTTATCTGATGAAAGGTCAAGAAAAATTCACGTTAGCGAGCTACATCTTGTAGTCGATTACGCCAAGAAGACAAAGTAATCAATAGTATTTCTTATTGTCTCTTGAAAATGAATACGTGTTAATAGATCAAATAGAGATTACGAGTACGAAAGGCGTAAGGTCAGATTGTAGTGGAATTCGAACGATCAGGACACTAAGATGGCAAATCTTGCAGCTCAAAGAATTTGCGATGAACTTGGTACTGACCAAGTACATCAGCAAGCAGCTTTAAAGCATGCAGAGAGGTTGAGAAGAATAGTAACTACGACGTCTTGAGAAACAGGATTCCAAGCCCGGCACAGAATTCGAGCATCGAGCCAGGACGCCGAACCGTCGTGAAACGAAAGATGCTACAGACCACACTTATGTTCGTTCCGCTAAATACCTGGTGAAGTGTAAGCAAAGGCCACTTTTCGCAATGCGCCCCTTTGGACTGATGAATGTTGGCACAAACTTGTCCACTATCGATAAAATCGAGCTTTTATGCAAGATTTCTTAATGAGTTGACTTTCTCCGCTGCTCAAATTTAGCCAGACCTGTCCTTGCGTTGAAATCATTTTGTGCGGATAACTGTCACTCATTCGTAAGTTAGGTAAGACCGAGGCTAGAAAAATGAACTGTGTTAGTGAAAACGACTGCCTCGTGCAAAAGACATGACACGTCTTTGGAATTTTGCTGACATTGCATAGTCCGATACCGTCAACATTTGACTGCAATGAATCACATCATTTGCTTCACTAGGCCACCTCAAAGCCAGGTAAAACGACCGAAGTGCTGTTTGTAATTACAAATCAGATGTCACAAGAAGGTGGAAAGTCTTATAATAACACACCCCCTTGAATAAAATGCAGGTGTAGTTCAAAATTATTGAAAAGGTTTTGGAATTGCCCGCGCATTCAAAGTGAACGGGTCCGAAGGCCGACAGGAGTTCGGTAGCATAATTTTCTTCAAGGATATGTAACTTTAGTCATTCAAAACTATCACAAACCTGCGTTGATTTTGCAAAAAATCGTCGGGAAGTGTCCTGAAGTGAACGGAATACCTGCGGCGTTTGGTACCTCGTGAACACCTTACATTATCATTTGCAGCAAAGAATAATGTTTCTCGGTGTTGTATTTTAGCAAGGGTGATAACTATAAGAGCAGCGACATTTAAAAAAACGAAGGAGGTTGGCCATCTATTCCACCTGGATCGAGTAACAGTGATTATAGCAGATTTTTACTAAATTGAATTGGGAAATTTTTTAAACGGCCAAGTAATTAGTCTTGGGTTTTTACGAAGAACTGCTGCTCAAGGAATATGTGACCGTAACAGTAGTCTTCACTGGAGTTGATTTTTTTGGTTAGTTGGCTAAAAAAATCTGTTGAAGTTTTGGAAAGAAATGTTTACTGAGATTTCTGGTTCAACCTTCAGTGGATCATGCTACTCTAAAACGTCACTTCACGCGCAATGAAAATCAGATATCACTGGAAGAGCTGTGACTAAATCCGAATTAGCCAGTGCAGGACAACATGTCCATTTCCTCCATTTTGTGAATGGAACCAATGGGTGCTCTGGCAATATATCTGCCATTGATCAAATTACCAGATTTTGACATGACGTAAATTACATATGATAGAAAATAACCGAAAATGGTCGTAGTTCTTGAAAATCTTTCAACCAATGAAAAATAAACAAGGGCATACTTACGCGGTTGCCTAATTTGACTTTGTTCACATCTGAGGATGGTTGCTCAGCGCTAAACATTTAAATTGATGAACAGGTAAGTATAAAACATCAGGGCTAGTAAAAGTTGTGTAGTCCTGAACTTAAAAAATACTGAAATTCTATATTTCCATGTTGGAAGTTTAATTTTGGCGCATTATTACTACAGATGCGGTTGCGTTTACATCAAGTGGGAATTTGAGATACCACTTTTACCCTAAGCTATCAACTGTCACTCGCTCTCAGTGCTTAATTGCTGGTCCCATGAGTGTTGCTATTGTCCGCCAAGCGACTTCATGCGACATTTTTGTCCTCCCTCGTGTAGGCATGGCAACCCCGACAACTAGCCTGGCTCATCGCCCTCTTGCCCCATTCTACACACGCGTGAAACACACGTCTAACCTCATTTAATTGTTTACTTCACACTCCAAAATCAATAACAGCTCTATATTACAGTCTAAAAAGTCAGCATGTTTCCACTCCATTTGTTAATCACTCAACAAGGGAGCATACAAATGAGGAAACAATGGAAACCTAGCCCTAAGGTATCTTATGGCAAAATCATGGAATGTGAATCACCTTGCGAAGCCTATAAAGTCCTCGTGATTGGTGTTTATATAGGCCAATTGAATGTCAACTAGGAGGTAGATTTTTTCCCTTGCGTTTGCCTGCCTTTCCTTGATTCGTTCAGTCACGATACGTTCTGTTGCGTCCCGCAAGTGTGGAAAACACTCCATCTTAAAGGCAAAAGATATGATTGGGCGGATTCCGTTCAAATTTAAACCTTAAAACTAGGAAATCTCGAATTTGTTCAGAAGTTACATTATAAAACCACTATTTACAACTAGGATGACATGAATGACTGGGTCTAAAACCCTTCCCATTAGAAGAGGTTTCAAATATTTGGAACTTTGCGTTACTTGGGTCGTGTGCCAGTAGGAAGAACTTGGTCAGATTTCGAATTGCTTGATAAGTGGTATTAATATTTTGCATGGCTCACCTGAAACATTCGGGAGATCATGCACACAACCATACGCACACCCAACAAATTCAACGTCGCTTTTAAACAAAGAATATTACATTGGCATAATGCTAGCCCTGACACAATCATCAGGGAAAGAAACCTAAAATTCTGTAACTTACCAACATCTGGTCCATGGTACTTAGTTAACTTCCCATCCAAACCTTGACTTATTTGAGAGGCTTTTAGTCTGGGATTTAGTATCGTTGCGGGGCTCAAACTCTCTCATGGTACTCGCAAATTCGTGATCTAGCCATAACAAATTTTCATTTGGGATGCAATTATGGATGACGAACACCAATCAACTTGTTCATTCAAGTAAAGCCACTTTAGCATCCCGTGATTTACTTACACTTTGACATTGAGAATTTAACATTAGTCCTACCAGAATGAAGGGTCATATTGTTTAATTGTTTCTATTTAGTAGGATCTACTCACATATTGCTGACAAAGATGCATGAATGCATACTAGCGGTTGGGTGTCTGAATTTTGCAATTGGTCATGGAGTCACAATTAGACTTATTAATGCGAGTCTAAAAATGTTGAAATAAAACACCGCTTGTGCCATTATATTTTGTAATGTAGTTGAAGTCATGCTCTTTCTCCCATTCAAATGGAAAAGCACGTCACCATCAAATCGTACAACATACTCTCCTCAAAAGATCATTGGGGTTAAGCAAATGACTCGCACGTTTGCTTCGTAATTGGCTGAGCGTAAAGCTGAGCCGGTGTTTTGCAGCCAAGTTCTATGAGCGCACACACACAATTGAGCATCGAGGACTGGACATCTCCAGTTATGTGGTTACACGTGTGTCTTCACAAGTCTCGCATGTATTTTGCGTTTGCGGCACGCTCTGGACTGACCCCCCCCCATTGTGACATTTTGTTCCTAAGGTCTGGTCTTCCCTTATTTAAACGCCAGATACATATTTACCAACTCTAGATGCACTGGTCACGAAAAGATACCGAGCAAAATCTACTTCCGAAAAAAAGATCAGTAAAGTGGGAAAATTTCCAGACGATAATCTTGGCATCTAAAGACAAAAATTTTAATCGCTATGCGCTAGCTTTGAGTCGAATAAAACGAAGCCCCTTAGATTGTGTATAAAAAATTGCGCTTGCAATATTTTACTATCAATTGCAGACTCGGGTAGATTCATTTAAAATAGTTCTATGTTTTTAGTAGAAAAGATGATGGATACAGGGAGTTTGCCAGTACTTTGAAACGTAGCTACACGCCTTTGAAACGTAGGAGTCGGAGCCACCCAAAGCAGACAAAACTTCGTCTGTGTGGCGAACGTATGCCTCAACCAGTTCCCTTCCAACACCACGCGAATTTCCATAACGCGGTGCCTGATTCACCATACATAACTAGGGAGACGCTTACTTTTAAACTACTGTTACAGCTGAAGTAGAACGCACAGGGTGAGAAAGGGCGTATGGCGGCGAGTGGGACATGGTAAAATCACGTGAGTACGCGCGAGCGACTCAGCCCCCGATGCTTGGCAGAGAGAGAGCGAGCGAAAGGGCGAGCATTTTGGACGGTCAATAAGGTAGAGGACTCACCGCGTGCGCGCACATTCATGATTGCCGAAGCCATAATCGCCCTCCGAAATGCTGGGGTGAGCGCTTGTAGTGGGTATCAAAGTAATTTTAACATTACTCTTAGAGAGGGACTTGCACGTATGAGTTAAAAAGAAACTAATGAATGCAATGACGTAGTAAGTCATAAACATTCTGATAAATTTAAACACTTACATTGAGTACCAGGCAAATGCCAATTCAGAAACCGTGTTTCCACGTTGGCAACATCTCAATGAGGCGGGTATCAAAATTCAGTGCGTTGGTATATCTAACATGTTTTGTTTTAAGTAAAATTAAAACCATGGTGGACTCGAGCAAGTAAGGGGAGTCGAGAACGGCTTCCCAACGATCCACTTAATGAGAGGTGTTTCGCAGTGCTGGTTGCTAGAACACGTTGTAAACGTAGACGCAATTCTAGACCACGGTTTCGTGACCCACAGCAACGGTGCTTACTCGTAGCCTAATTGTTCGTAAAAACGGCAAGTGTTGAACTACAGGAGTGCTTCAATCTTATCGTGTAGCTAAATGATTGCCATTATTAGTCTTACCCCTGGCTGGTTTAAACTTATTGCAACTTTAATCTTATGAGCATTCATCGAAGCCTCAGCCAAAGAGAGTATCTTCATAATTCGCAATTCACCCTTTGTCATGGAACAGGCAACATTCTTTTAGACAGTGCCGATAGATTAGTGGCAAGTAAGACCTGCATACTCCGGCTTCTCCAAGGGGGCCACTGTCTTCCACTTTGAACACGATGAATCCAAGCAACTCCCACACAAGAGGTTGCTGCAACTTGCCCACGTATTGAAGCATTCATTCCAATATACATGACGCCCAGTTTGCCACTAGTAGTTCAAACCGGTAGTATTCAGGACGTGAACGTGTAAGCTGAGCTCGGGTGAGCACGCCACCGCAAATTGTGAGCAACACAATTTCATAGTCGTTTGCTTGTCCTGTGAAACTAAAAGCAGGACTCAATCGAAACTATTGCAGTGGGCGGGGTGGCGACGTCGATGCCTTTGTAGTTAAATATTCACTTGTGGAGATTCATCACAGTGCTATTTTTCGATTTAGGCAAGTATCGGGTTGTGGGTGTGTTCTCGCATGGACCCTGTCAGGTCACACAGTCCTAGTGCTAACACCATCAGCTGGCACTTCCCCCGCTCCACATTCCCACCCAAATAAGCGGTTGTCTGTCGTCATCCTCTTCTTAGTTCCGACGGCGGCAAAAAGGAACAGAGTTACAAGGTATTGCAAACACAAATACCTGTTTTCTTTTAATGAAACAAACTCTGAATTAGTAAAATCATCACACACACACAGTACGGAATGTGTTATTTTTCGATCACGTAACTCATTCAAAGCTCTTTCAACGCATACTAATTAAAAGAAAAATTCACCGCGACAAGATTTCGCCCGTTTAACAAACTACCCAGTACAGCCTTCAAATCTTGACTGACACAAGGCAGGGTTACTGGCACAAGACCAAATTCACTTTCCGTCTGCCGCCATTCCCATTGGCTTTCTACAGGGCTGCGGCCGGAAGGCACAGTTCTCATTCTGATATCGACAACTAAACCGTCACTAATCCAGTGTTTTTTTCCAGACAGTACTGAATCCCCCTTCGAGAAGTTCGTTACCATATAGTAACATAAAGCAAAGTATGCATGAATGAAGGACAATGTGTGCATGCCAGGTACGGACAACGTGGGTGACGTCCGCGCACGGACTCCCCGGGCTTGATGCAAAGATACTGGGAGTGTACTAACGTGGTCATGGCGATTTCCTACCCCGCCCCTTGGCCTCCCATCACCGTCGGTTGTTGAGTTGATGGCATCGGACGATCAACATTTAATTTAGCAGTCATGCTTAAACGGCATTGTACACTAGGTTAAGCCAATGAAGAAGTATTTGATCACTAGGCAATTTAAATAAGCGCTTGACACAATTGACGTCCATGGTTAAACTAATGGCAGCCTATTAACATACTTGCAACCGAAATTGCTACGAAAAATGGACGAAAATCCGTGCCTTGAAGTACCCTGTCATTAAATACTCATGCTTTGGGACGAATTCAGTGCAATATCCGTGAAGTTGCTACAGGACAATATTCAAGAAAATACAATTTTCGAAATATGCTTCATGTTTGGCCATGCATACAATGAATATGAGCTATGAGATCACACTGAATTGGCAATGTATTACTGTTGTGCAAATGACTCAGAAACTTGCCCTATGTACATTTTACACAATGGAAACAAAATTGTTTGCATAATTAAAGTCAGTGAGATAAACTCGAAAAAGGCGATCCAAACAATCAAGGATACTTTGGGGCGTTTTTTAAACTTGGAATATTTATGCATCCAAGAATAATTGTTGGTTTATTTCCTCTTATTGTTCTTCTTATTGTCTGGTCTTCAGAAGCAAACTTGCGGTTTATTTATACATAAAGTTGCATTCGAATTTGTAGCCCAAACAGTACGACCCTGGCTGTGTTTTCTACATGGAGGCTTTACCTCATCCTCTTGCCTTTCGCTAGCCATCCCATGCTTCAGCAGAGGCATTTTCATCGAGGTAACACACCACACGAGCATTTAAGGTTGGGTCATCAGCTAACCCATGTGTGAAATACCGTTGCCCTGGCAACGAGGAGAATTAAAAAATAGCCCATTCCCCGATAACAAACCAAAATTATGGCATGTCATAGAAAACAGGAGCTGACCTTATTAGCACAATCATGAACAATTTGAATTAGCTCCTCGACTACCAGATCGACGCAAGTTAGTGAAGGTTCTTTCATGCGCTCAATCTGTTTTCGGACGATTGTTTCAAAAGCCAGATCGGGAGTAAACAATCCAGAGCTAAAAGGATAAGCGCAGTATTTGGGTTCCAATTTGAAAAAAATAGCACACAGAAAGTGTCAAACAGGTAATCTCATGAGACACAGGAAATAAGGTTCTTGTACTCAAGTGGTGCCAACAAAAGCTTGTACTTAGCACGAAGCAAACCTCGCGCGTCTGTAGTTATGAAAGCACATAAAAATGAAGATTAAGGCCGAACTTCATAACATTTGTCGAATGAACAAAATTACGGTTCTCCCGAGTGCATTTTGAAGGAGAGAATGAAACCTGGTGGAGTCACAATTAGGGAATTTAAGCCACACCGAACGCAAATTTACTCATCAGCAATCGCGATACGCGATTTTTAAAATATAAAAGTCAAGCGATACCTTTGATGCAAGGCCAAGGGGATACCTAGACTAGTTCGATACACACGTGCATGCATCAATGTACCATCTGTGCACTGCAACTATAACCCAGGTGATATAACATCAAGAAGACTGAACCGAACTACTGGAAGGCCGGGGATAAAACCGACTTCGAAGGCCAGCATTTACTGCAGATATTTCAATTTGATTTGGACTTGCAGTAGCATCATGGTAACAAGCTCGTCTGATGCCGCTCAATTTATGTGAAACTTACTTTAACTGATTCTTCCTCTGCATTAACTTCTATTTTAACTGATTGTTTTTTAGTCTAGAGGGGCACCCTTTTGAGTGGGAGAAAAGAATTAAGTCAGGTGGTTGGAGTGAATTAAACTCAGGCAACAATAACAAGTAAAGCACGGTCCGAGACTGACTACTGTAACCCATTATTCATTCTAAAGACACGGAATCAAAGTGATGATGTATGGATCAAATACATGCTGAACAACGTGAATGAACTTCGTAGAAATCACCCAACTTTCAGAGTTCTAATCTTTAACCGTTCTAAATGGAGCTTCTTTTGATTCCCCACTCTAATAGCCCGAAAATTAAATAATTTTATATTTAGTTAACCATACGCCTTAGCTAGATGCAAACAACTAAGGTATTATTTCTTCCGATATAAAGTTATAGGAACAAGATTAAATTGAGTGAATCCTTGAGAGAACTCTACGCGGCGAATCATTAAAATATTACTTAATATCTCTAAAAAAAATAATCAAGTTTGTAATTATACTTCTCGGTGCTTTGTGTTGGAGACTAGGTTTTATTTGCTACTGAAATCATCTGCTTAGGCATTTGAATTTTTCATTTTATTCACAAGTTCTGCGGCGACGACGCGGGTAGCATACATTTACGGCAACTGACCAGAAATGATACGAAAAAATGAAAAAAAAAATAATAGCTTGAATCACTGACGACTTACCGAATTCCATGAATATTGCGAATGGCGAAACTTATATCTCTTCGTAATTCCTCTCCATCGTTTTGAAGCTGATGAAAAACAGCAATCAAAAACGTTGTGAGTGTTATAGGCAAAGGTTCAATTACCACAAAAGAGAATAATGACAGCGGAGGAAATAAAACAGGCTTCTTGTACTTTAGAAATGCGACAACTATATGTTAGTGCACCAATCCGACTACTTAAAATATCACCCACGTCGGCGTGGCCACGTAATGTCAAATATTTAATATTAGCAAAAATTACTGCCAACTGGTTTTGTGGATAAGTCAAGACTATTTTCGAGACACCAAAGCATGTATTTATCTCAAAAGACACGAATTTCAAAGCACTGAAGTCAAACATTCTGAGTTCTTCTCTAAGGTGTAATCTTCCAAAGGTTATAGTGGTGATTAATTTCAGCTACCATGATGTTTTAGGTTTTGATTTATGACAGGGTCCATTAGCCTGATCAAGGAATAGTTTACGCTAAAAAAGTGAAAGCAAATATCGTCTTTCTCACCATGGCCAAGGCATAAGGGAGACGTTCTGTAAATATGCGGTTGATCCTAGCGCCCCTCGACAAGGTCTTGGTGTCAATTTCCGATCCTGAACCGTCGATCGTCTGTGTAAACTCCACTTCAAAACCCTGCACTGCTCTAAAATGGATAGAAAGCTATAAAAATTGCACATATTTAGCACAGTTTCTACAAAGGGCTATCAATACCCTTCCAGAGTAAATAGAAATCAGTTGCTACTTTAGTTTTGCGCACAGTAAAACGTTTCCACGCATAAAGTGTTTGTGCGAGACATTGACGAAAAAAACTAGTTTAGATATGCAACAAGCCTTTAGTTAAGTAATATTTAAGATCCTGCATAAATCCGCTTTCAGTGGCTGCTTTTTAATGCTTTGTAGTGAGATTGATCCTTCTGTAGGTAGTTTAATGATGCTAGTCATGAGGCTCCCAATTATACACAAAATGTCAATATTAATACTCTACAGTCTATCACATCACATGAGAACACTTTAGACGACCGATTTATAACAGATTCGGTAACAAATGCACCGTCTGTCTAAATGAAATCGGAGATGGCAGAAAAGCTTTGATGGTCTTTAAAATCATGGGCATTAAGAACTGAATAGATTAGTAGAAGGTATTTCACGAAAAAAATGCATACATCATCAGAGCTTTCGTTTTAAATGAAGGATCGGCGGGTTGATAAGCCTTATACTCCCGAACTTCCTTTTCCATTGCCAACATTTGCGACTGAAGTTTATTGCGAAGGCCAGGTAATGATTCACGAATATGATTTGTCAGTTGCTGATTAAGAACCCTTTGTAAATATGGCGTACCCATGCGATCGGCCATATGACGATACGATGGATGACTTAGAAAAAATTTCCGTTCAGCAGCTATGGCGGTTGTGATATCCTTTCTGCCTTCAATGTCCTTTTGACTCCTATTTACAACACCAATGTAGCCTATGTACAAGAAATAAAATTTAAAAAAAGGCATCAGAAGGTAGATAGATACCATAACCTTCGGTTTATGTGACTTGAATTTCGAAAGCTATTCTGAAAATTATCTACAAGTCAGTCTTACAACGAGTGAGGAAATGATTTTAATTAGTGTGAACGTTTTCGTTACACAACTTAACTATCTAGATGGAGCAATATGAACCAAGTGAGCAATTTAAGAAAATATGCATTATTATATTGAATTGTTGCAATTTAATCAAAAGAAAGCAAGTTAACATTTGCGAGAATGAATTTAATATTCCACTACGAATATGTTTTGCTAAAATAAAAGCCAAGGTTTGATAGGTGGTATTCTTTGTGGTCAGGGAAAAAAATTAGCAAAACTATTTAGCATCTATGACGGCCTAAATTTACAAGTAACAAGACAAACCTCTTCTAAGGGGCAGAAGTTTGTTTTCCAAAACATCACGTGCGTCCGTTCCATGGTCCATTAAATCCAACTTTGTAATCACACCGATAGTTCGAAGTCCTTGAGGATCAACTTCCCTGGCAATCTTTAGAGCATCAGAGTTCGCCAAGTCAGAATTGGCTGGTGAAACTGCTAGGATGAGACAATAGTCACAGTTGATAAAATTCAGAATCATGTCTTCAATTAAAGTCGAAATATCTTGAGGCTGATCACCAACTGGAACCTTTGTCATGCCAGGAAGATCAATCAATGTCAGATTAAGAACTAAAAAACAAGAGGTGAATAATAATAACAATAAATACCTGCCAACAATACTAGAATATTAATCTAACTTATTATGTATTTCTAGAAGCCTAATAAATATTTGACAACTAAGATATAAATAATTGGAGTCTGAATGAAGGGTATAGAATAAGTAACAAGGATTGGCATTAGATGGCCCACAAATACAAATATTTGTCCACGAACTATTAAAAGGTTGAATTCTTAAATGTTAATATAATAGAAAGAGCTGGTACTTTAGGAGATTGAAATGTCGATGTTACCGTTAGGAGAAAAAATCTTCAGGTTAATAGGCTTATTTGATATGCCTTTGTTTGTTCCGGTTTCTCTATCCGTTTCAGCTTCAATTTCTTTTCTGACTTCATCAAAATCAGTAAACTTTACGCCCTTCATATGCAGGAATTCAGCATATTCTAAATATATATATTATAAGTCGGATTAAAAGAACCTGTGTCTGACGTAATTAGCTGTAGTACCAAGGGTCTTCGGGTTACAATACCACTCCCACGCGGCAAAAAGTCTCTATTTGCGTATTGGAAATATTAAATGAACCCACCTTCCTACAAAATTCTCCAAAACACTACTTTTTCCAGCACTCTGACTGCCAACAACAGCAATTTGAGGTAAATCTAGATTAAGTGGAACTCCTAGTGATGAAAATGCATCCTGTAGTTTATTCACTAAAGGTATGAGACTCTCCATGCCCGCATTGCCAGACATCGCTCAGGAACCAACAATTAATTTACCACTAAAACCGAGGCCATTATAGATAGCAAGATTAAACAAAATACTAAATCTCCAATAATACTTTAAAATAATACTAATTATATGTTTCATTGTATAAAAAAGCACAAATTGATTTATCATTTCATATTTACCTCTTGAACATATCTAATCGTACTGAATATCTAAAATTACGCCAATATAAGAGTCCAGTCCATGTTAAAAACTTTGACACTTTTTAGCCGGTTCTCTGCTTATGTGCATATTTGCATTCATTTTATCTGCTTTCTGTCCACTGGTTTTTTAATTTTGGTTGCTTCATTTCTCTTCCTTAACATAGAGCACAAAATTCCATTACATAATTTAAAGTTTTTGAAGTTATTTTTCTAACTGCATTTTAAAGTCAAACGAATTTGGTCAACATGTCATTTGCTAAGACGTAAATGTCGTATTAACTTATTCCACCAAATCAAAAACATTTTAAGCCAACATTTGATTTTGGCACAGCCTATCAGGGTGATTGGTAAAATGCATTAATTTACTGGTTGTTATAATCTTTCGTAATACGCCTTCGGGCCATCAGGTTAGTTCTGAAGTTTAATGCGTTGATCGCATTTCGAATAAAAAGAGTGTAAGCCAACCACAAATTCATTCAGAACAACGACACATCCACTTAATGTAAATTTATTAACCCTAATATTTTTATTTCGAAATCAGGCAGAACTGCACCTGGGTGAGCCCCATCAGAGTCCCCTATCGATCAACAGCAACACTGACCAGATTCAACATAGCATACCTGCGAACAAGTAGCTGATGGATCTAAAACAACTTTAAAGTAGCACCATTGCAGCTGGCCCAATATGAAATCTGTTTTTTAATCCGATTGAGGTGATGGAATAAACTAGGATCATCGTTAGGTGTTTTTATAAAATAGGATGAAAGTGCAAAAACATTTAAGGAATGGTTCTGTACCAATCATGCACAATCGACACTTTCATAGTTCACGGCAGCGAATGTAACCATCGGACATCCGGGTTATCCCCCTTACATCGGTAAGGCGACATAAAACTGCTGAACAATGTACAAAGCATGGACAACTGGCTACGCTTCAGTACATAAAGCTTGCTTCGAAACCAACACCTCGACCGAATTCCCTAGAAATCCAAAGCACCTTTTAATAGTTTAAAACAATTTGAAGCAAATTATAATTTGACCAGCGCAGATAACAGCAGGAAGGCCGATTCAAGGGATCCAGGCAAGGTTACCTACCAATGCGTCAGAAAATACGTAGAAAGCCACTCATCTGATTATTATAACGTCACTGCTAATTTCAACTATCCCCGGCAATCGCACCAGAGTGTTCGAAGAATAACAAGTGGTAAAACGACTTGATTAACAGTTTGTGGCATTGTCTATGAACACGCACCTACAATTGGTAATTAAAAATTAAAGATTAAAAATGTTAGACAGCAGCAAACAGAGGGGTGTAGTGTTTTGGATGAGTGTTTGTTCTCGGAAAAGGAAAGTATTGATACAAATTATACAAGATTCAGTGTTTTGTATACCAGATGCGCACAAAGCACGCGGAAAGCATCCAGAAGTATTCGGTGTAGAATCGACAAAAAGTAAAGACGGAGACAGTTGGACTCACATTCACCGACGCCCGAGAACAGGTAACCATAAATTATTCACAGTGGAAACTCGGGAAATTGACCGAGATGATTTAGGGTGATTGTGTACACGAAAAGGCGAACGTGCAAAAACATTGTCAAAGTAATGTACAGCAGAATACCATTATTGGGACTTGCTTTGTGTACAACCGCGATGGCAAAGCCAACCGAATAGACGAAAAAACAAACAACACTATACAGAATATGAAAACGGTACAGGACCAGGGAAGAAGGCAAATATGAACGAGACTAAGCTTCAACCATTTCAGAGACCACCGGTCGATCGACAGTATCTGGCTCGCCATCTGTCGAAGGGCTCTCGCCTTTCGCAGATACGTAAATAAGCCCCGACGTTTTGCCACAGTGCAGCAACTGGTAACCTCGATGTGGCGGCGACTCCTCATCGAAATCAAGTGAAGGAGAAGGTGCTTCAGCTTGCCAATCGGTTGTCAACGCACCAGCTATGGCTGTTGATGAATCGGACGAAGGTTCAGAAGAGAGGCTTACTGTGTCTGGTGCTGGTGGTGGGAAAAGTGGAAGATGACAATTACCGCCCGACTTCATGTAGCACTTCTCCATCTTATTGATTATATGCTTCCCGTAAGTATATTTGCGCAGACTGTTGAGGTAGGGCCTGATACGGGTCATAAGCTCCTTGCGAATAGGATGCTCCGCTACATCAAGCATCTTTTGAATGACGTAGTTGGCAAACTGATCCTTCATCATAGTCCAAAGAACCGAGGTATCCCCTCTGTCATCCGATGAAACAGCAGTGGCGATCGATGACTGAATATGATTGGAGTCTTTCTCGAGTACCTCGTTGATCAGAGCTTGGCGTTCTTGACGATTGGCGTTAGTAACCGCTTTTTCAACGACGTTGCTAGCGAATTTGTGTACAGAGAGAGCGGCAACCCGACCCCGGAGAAGACCGATTATGCGGCTCTTTTCCTCTGTTCGGCCGTGTTCCAGGATATGCTAGAACAAACCGAGAAGCCGGTTTAATTAACATACAACACGCACGGTTGTACACTTTTAATGAGTAAATACATACCTGAATAACATAATTACCATATTGGTCCTTGAAAAGGGACTCGGCGCATTGATGCAGTTCTGCAAGAATGGGGGCTGTTTGGTCGGCACTGCAATGTTCCAAAATGCGTTGGATCACACGGCAACCATAAGAGTGCGTAGAGATTGAATGTACCTACAGAGAAACGCAGAAGCACTTACTGCTGCAGGTGGGAGATGGCGGAAGGTATGAAGAAAACAATAAAAAAACTGCAACTCACGTGCCCCTTGAAGGCGTCTACAATAAATTGAAGGTGCTCCGAAGGGACATACTCGATGCACTTCTGAACAACGTGGTTTCCGTTTTGGTCTTTAACACACTTGAGTACGCACCCGTCTAGTTCCTTCACGATGCTAATTTGAGTCTCAAGACCGACTGATTCAATAGCTTTCTGGATGACCCGACAACCGTACATTTGTAAAGAAAGCGTCAGAACCTGACCTCTGATCCGGTGTACGAGAATCTGAAGAGAAATTTCGAAGAGCGACCTTCAATTTGCGCGTTAGGCTTAATATAGCATGAAGTAAGAAATTATTTTCCATTTTAAAAAGGCAAGCAAAACAAGCATAATTGCATCGCCATGTACAATAACCACCTGTTCTTGGCAACTTACTTCACGGAGCCGCTTAAGCAGACCCAAAAATCGGCTAGTTATTTTGCAGTGTTTAACTGGGCTACATACTTTACGGGTATGGATCTGAGATGGTCTGGATGGAGATCCTTTGAGGAACACAGTGACTAGGGTTTAAAAATCGACTAGATATGCCTTCCATTTGTGTCATCTACACGCTTACGAGTAACCAACTTTGTATGCAGTGCGTAAAACTTGTTCTGGCATTTCGCAGAATTTAATTACAGTAGCCAGCCTGGATATAATTTAGGGAAATCTCCTATGTTAAAGTGGTTAGTCATGCCAAGACGTGTCGGATCTAGTGGGCTGTGATAGGGAACCATTTCAATATTTACGCAAAGCTAATGCAAACACAGCAACAAATTACAGGGCTCGATTGTTCGATTTTTACCACGATAGTCTATTCGAAAATAATGCCTCTCTTAGTAAACCGATGCGTGGGTTCTATTCACCGAGCATGCATTTTGGCAGTGCTCATTACCGTTTAACTCCGTAAGCCGTTAATTACTGTTACAGAGTGGAAACAGCAATGGCACATGCCGACTACTGACGCTGAGTTTCACCAGAAAAATTCTTCTGCTAGCAGCCTTCAAACCAACACTAAAACCAACATATATGCTATTTGAGTATACATGGTATTGTAGGTGCAATACGTTGTTTTACGTGGCACCCACAGCAACAAAAACTCTGAACAACAAAGGAGCCACTGATTACAAAAACATTTCCAGTTTCTGCAACTGATTACGTAGGCAATAAAACGCAGTCGATTTTTCGCTCACTTGTTTTTGTTCGGGAGTGCCAAGCTCAAAGAATTTTTGAATAACGTAATTGCCAAAGACATCCGTCATGAGGCTGTAAGAATGAGGAAGAACCTCGCGAAAGACGGCTGTCTTGTCCACGGCACTGGCCTGCTCTAACTTTTGTTGAATGAACCTAGAACCGTACTGGTCCTGTGCAAACTCTACTATGTGTCCAGCGAGGTCTTGAAGTGTCAAGAGGGGCAATCGAGAATACCTGTTTTCGAAAAAAAAACAAGTTTATGTGTATATACACATATACGTATACATTCTAAATTCAATCCATCAAGTGTCTTGTCCTCGACGCCACTAGATAAGACAGCACTTCGTGCACCGTGGCCATAGTAATTTACAGTCTGGCTAAAGAAGGACCAGCACATCCAGATTGCTAGAGGGAAATTGTGGAGCGTGGTGGTACCATTCATTTCGTTTTGCAGATGTTACTTACCCTAGCCTAATGATGTATTTCTGAATAGCGTGATCATAATCCATGGTTAATCACCGCCTCAATAGTGCCCCCAACTTGTTTTATGGAGTCGAAATAACTGCAACCATTTTCGACTGATGTGTAATGCAGCAAATACGACGGGAAAACACTGGGGTGTGGTCAAAGTTTGTTTCAGGTCGCGAAAACGCGTGCGTTCGGGGTCAATCATGGCTATTCACTAGTGCACACACGAAGAGTTCCTAGTACCGGTGTGCTAATGACTTAAACAGCATAAATGCACTAACAGCTTATAATGTTGGCTATTCATACGAGGACCCTTCTAAGTTCATGCAAAACTCGTTTACCGGCATCTTTACCTTTAGTGTTGCAGTGACATCACAATGCAAAATATTTATCGAGGTTATAAACGTACTCTTTGACCGAAGTTTGTAAAAACATTATGTCATACACCTTGTAAACAGAGATTCGGCATACCACATGCAACAACCGACAACACAATGATAGCAGCTTCTAAATCTGCTAGAATGCTGAAATATGCATTCTAAATAGGAGCCTTTAAAGAAATGCTCCTACATATAAACCTATAGCAGCATCCTATGAATGAAGATATAATGGAAGCAAACTAGTCGTGCAACCAAGTTAAACTGCAAACCAAACTTTTATGGGTTGAGTCCTTTGAATGCACGAATACTGGCAACAAGCGAGCAACCAGTGCACAGGCTATTTCTGAACACCGAAGTTGCGATCTTTACCTCGGCTAATCTCCAGTGTTTTGTTTAGAAATGCAAAAAAGCTACATAAAACTAAGCATCACAGAGACCAAGCAAATCTGTGCCACGTCAAAAAAGAAAATAACAACTGTCAAAGTCTTAATTTTTGGAACAACTAATGTTCAAGTGTCAAGGTTCGCGAAAACACCGCTTAAGATAGTTAAAGCAAAAAAGCACCACATCACCAACCACAAAAAACCTGCAAAAATGATCATATTTTGAAATATGCCTCATTCATGAACAAAACGGAGTATATTAAGTACAGCCGCGCCGACCAATAAAGAATATCTCCAATTGCAGCTAAGTTTATAGCATTTAAGGCACTAAACATATGTACACAAGAACGAAAAACTAGTCACATTGGGCTGTATTCATAACAGAGCGTTAGCCAGAAGACAGTGATGTGTGTCTTTAAATGGGACCCTAGTTTAACCTGAACTCCAGTGTCCTATGCTACTTGTTTTATGGCCTTTGAAATATGGAAGTTGAAGACCAAAAAGCGAAAAACGACTTGGCTACATTAAATCAATGAGGCTTACTTCCTTCTTGGAAACTCATTGGGTAGTGCAAAACAGTGGACCAAAGAAGAAAAGTGAACTCACCTGTAATCCTCCAACAGCCGACCCCGTTCCGGGATAGCCATTGGATTTGACCCTGGTAAAGTGCCCTGCATTGATGAGGCCAATGTTGGGAACATAGCGCCAGCAGCTGTTGGCACAAAAGGCAAGTGCCCTCTACCAGCGTCAGCACCAAACAAGTTCACAGCTTGATTTTTAAAAAGTAGTAGTCTCTGCTGCTGACAATTTTGGTGACCCCTTAAACCTTTTAAGGGCAAGGCAAGGAAAGCATGGTTCTCCATAGAGGGTTGAGGGCCAAATGGGGTTCTGTTCTGTGGGGAGGAGAATCGACGGGTGAAATCGACAAGGGGAAAACATGACGGAGGAGGGACTGTCAAATCTGGAGTTGGGGGAGGGAAACCGATACACTCAGCAGGGGTCGTGGTGGTAAAGGGGGAATGTGTAATGGGAGTGAATGGTGGTGGAGGGGCGGGGCAATGAGGTGCAACGGTACCTGGTGTCTCCGGACAAAAATTTGAATCGGGAGCAGGAGTAAGAGGCAAGCGTTGGTTGCAGAAAGGGGAACGATGTGTTTGTTGTTGTGGTTGCTGGTCCAGTGGATTCGATGGGAGGCGAGGTGGACCGAAGCAGGGATGAGGGTGGTGGCTGCTGGCCGTCGGAGGTAACTGTTGAAATGCTGGTGAACTGACTGATGGACCCGAATTTGGAACAAGACACGTGCCGCAGCCACTAGGAGAGCTAGCAAAGACCTATTAAAAACATGCTCAGGTGAATGTAAGAAGTTAAAGCACTAACTGTACTAAACAAATACCCACTCAACAAATACAAATAGCATGAAGTTTTACTTAAACACAACCTAATAAAACAGGTTACCCTCTAGGATATTAACAGCACCGAGACAGTAGATTGCATACTCAGTTAATCAGTCTAAATAAGAACCTCGCAAGTTCGCTACTGAGAAAGACGAATATCTATGTTCGCCTTACAAAAACCTTGAAAGGGTGTGACTTTTGAAAAACGTCACTCATAAGAAAATCTGTTCGAGATTGCAAATGCACAACTAAACCGACTGAACGGAGTTGATCCTGCGAAACACCTGACGGATAAATTGAGCACGAGAAGTTAGCAGTGTTCGTAGTACGCAATCCTTGAACCAGAATAAAGGTGCTAGTAATCGTAGGAACATTTCTTAGAACCTTGAACTTAACGGATACAACTTGATTGACAAGCTCAGTGGTGAATTGCTGAACCAGTCTCAAAATTGGCGCTATCAGTAAATTTGGATTTTATCAAAACTTGTTTACAGAAACTAACCGTTACGGAGGTGACCATTGGCATCTAACGCATTAAACAAAAAATACACAACACTGGACGAATAAATTACATGGTGCATTAATATTTCGACTTTCCCCATTTGAATGGGCCTATCTTCTAAATTATCACCTTATCCAAACTAAAAATTTATAGAGGCGGTTCGCTACATTGATCAGAATTTATGACGATTTGAAATGCTGCAAAACTTTGAATAAATTTAAACCGGTACTATGAATAATCTGAACACTTTTCTCATGCACGCCATGTCATACAGGTCAGAAGGAATGTCAGACATGTTACTGATAACTTGCAGGGCTGCATCATATTCATCAGTAGAAACTCCACGAGGAGTAGAAATTCAAACCAACACGCCAAGGAAGTAGTTCGGTCAATCCACACATACATTACAGCAATGACAAAGTGTATCGCGTTTGACGAGAATGACAATAGGCAAATCATGGCCACAAACGCCCGGATCGTTTAGCACCAGTGAACGTGTAATGACGGACGTTCGAAAACATGAAGGTTGAAAACATGGCACTTTACCGTAGAAACACATGTGAGTTTCATTATGAAATTATTAATATATTGTTTTACCGAATCAGGTAACAGTGAAATATCTGGTCACATTTTTTAATTGCATGTAGTTTCGGTTAGTTAGATGACCTGTCTGAAATCGAAAAGGGGGGCAACGTGTCGGTGAAGAGGACGACTGGATTAACTAGTGCATTCAGAAAATCAGTCCTCGATTCCAAGACAAATGTGATGGGCCTTTCGCAACACAATGTTAAAACTACCAAACCATAAGCCAGGGTAGAAAAATAGCGAATCAGATCCCAGTTTTAAACCAAGCAATACTTCTCTCATTTCAATATATTTAACAACTATTAAAAATTAAGAATGAATACAACTTGAATGATAAACTAGACATAGTTACAACGAAAAATAGCTGGCATTAGGTTATAAGCATTAACCTTGAACTTATCCAGATTAAAATATCCCTGAGATGTAAATCCACCAACAGACGTCGAGTCCGATTGGTGTGGATCATATCCATTTGGGGCGCACAGTCCCGCGCTGTCGAGTGGTGAATTCGGTGGAGGCGGTGCCACTGCGGGCAGTCGCGGCGGCACGCCACTGTTCATAGCGGCAGCAAACAACTGGATGGACTGTGCAAAGAGGGCCATTTGTTGGCTCGCAAATGTAGCTGTAGCAGCTGCGGAGGCTTCGTCCTGCTGATTTGCTCGACCACTCTCCCTGACACCGCCTTCTTTCTCAAAGGACGCCTGTCCGCGGGAATCGAAAGGGACTCCGGGAAAGTACCCAGCAGGGGAGCCACCACCAGGGGACGATGGACATACTCCAAGAGGGACTTGGTCAGGTGGAAGGAAGCACGGAGCAGTACTCAGTTGTGGAGGACCAGAGATAAAGGTAGCAGAAGAGAGATTTGTGACAGTCGTAGGTTCATTCAAACTGCCTGAAACGCCACTATTGCCATTAAGGAATTGATTTGCAAAAAAACTCGTGGACGTAGGCGGTGGAGGGTGTGGAGCAGCGGGTTGCTGCGGGAACTGCTGCTGTGGCTCCATTTGCATGAGACTCATTTGAGTGGCTGTACAAAAAGAATCAGAAATGACTGAACAAGTGAAGACGATTTGTGCAAAAGCTTAAACTATTCCATTATCCATTTTTTTCTAAAAATCAATCACGCTACATTGACAATTTGTTTCAATCAAGGTTGCAAATCTAGATATTACTGAAATTCCCTAAAATAAACTAAAGTTAAACCAGGTGTTTCTTGATTTTGAGATAAATAACGAGTAAACCGAGTACGCCATTAGGCCGTGGTTGGAAGGCACAAATTCTTACCGTGTTCATGTCTTGTCAAGAAAATACGTTGAACACACGTGTTACATGATAACAGAAATACGTACTTAAAAATGCCATATCAGAACCCATCGCACCATTCGGAAGAGGACCGCCACCTTGTTGATGTTGAAGAGCCTCGAGCTGTGCGGCTACGAATCGGCTGAAATGTGGCAGGGCAGCTGGGTCATTGAAGGCTGCTGCGGCTGCACCAGGGTCGAAAAGGGGCGGTGGTGGTGGATGAGAGAATTGGGGCTCTACTGTGCCACCATTCTCCATGTCGAGGAAACGAACCGTTGATGAGTTCGTTGGGCGCTCAGCAAGCGTGCTGTAAACGTGGGACAGTGGTTGGGATGCAGAAGCGTTTGTGGGGTCTGGATGTGCCTGCAACGAAGGTGGCGGTAGTGGTACATCCCCAAGAGATGATGTAACTGGTAGTAAAGTCAACGGAGGGGCGACGCTATCAGCAGAAACTGCTTGGGTCCGAGAAGATGGAATCTGATCACCTAGGAGATACGAGGTGCAACGTGATGACTGATAGGTCCTCATTTTATGAGTGATCTGAATTACTACTCACGTAACTGCAACTGCGATGTGCCACTTTATCAGTAAATGCCTGAATATCTGCAGCAGTCCAAACCCTAAGGGTTTCTGGTCAACAAAAATAGTGTTAATGGAGAAGTTGTGAAGTGTTCAAAGGAGACAAGCACGATGTGTACTGGGACCTAGTAGCGCCATTCGACAATATCAGTGCAACTACCGCGCAACAATTAAGTATTAAAGAATAATGTAATGCCTTAACATTATATCGACCCCGTTGATGAAAAAAGACGCTGAAATAAGATAGGAATCAATGCTGATAAGAAGTAACGGCGTCCGCTTTTTCTGAAGCACCCCCGAAGTCTGCTAATGCTAAAATAGACCCAATTCAGTAACCAGTCACATGAAAACAACTTTATACATTTCAGGTGATTCCGCAACACGGCAACCTTCCCTCCCTCATACAAGTCCTATTATATAACGTGCATAAAAATCAAACGACTAAACACTCACATCCGTGACTAGGAGATTTGCTCAGCACTTGATCGGCCATTTGCAAACCCAGGGCTGCCATGTCTTTGGCACCAGGTGACATCAATGCACCGTCGCTATAACCGAATCCAGGATTCGAAAAACAGCCGTAGGGTGGTTGCGAACCACGACTAAGAGGCGTTTCGCACTGACGGTCCCTTGAGTTGGCAATCTGAGAACATGTGGCAACCCAAGGGCTAGTAGGTTGAGCGCTAACATTGTCCAAATTAGCACAGGAGCTCCCCCATATTGATTTGGGATCAACAAAAGAAGTTCCACCCCGATTTTGCTGAGACAGTTGCTTGAATGGTGTCGCTGTATTAGCAGCAGGGGGAAGCCACTTAAAACCAGAATTGGGCACATCTAGCTTATGAGATCCATTGCTAAGAGTAGGATGGGATACCTGTTGCTGTTGCATAGAATCATGCGGTTGCAAACCGTTGTAAAATGGCGGGAAACATGGGGTCCCCCCAGCTTCAGAGCTGGAAGCAAGCGAAAATGGTCGATCAGGTGCATTCGAGTTCACAAAATCATTCATAGCAAAACAGAGGCGCCCTTTTCCATCAAGCAATGGAATTGGACAAAGTGTGGCTGAAAAAAAAACACAATTAGCAACAAACAATTAAACTAGTCCCCAAAAAAATAAGACGCACAATAACGACAAACAAATCTACAAAAAACACCATTAGATTCAATATTTCGGTAACTTCATTAGAACGCTTTTAAAGGCGACAAACGAGAACATAACAATCTGCCTATAAGTTGCCTTGCCGTACAAAGTGTCAAACATTATCGTTTTTATTTAGTTCGAAATAATATTGAACAAGTCACAAGTTGTAGTATAAAAAAGGCATTCCAATAGCTTTCCAAACTAAATAACGACGACAAGGTAAATGGTTTGCAAGAAAACCAAAAAAAATATGCGTACGAAATAGGCAAAGCAACTCCTAAGAAGTTCCAATGACATTAAAAAAATTACTTTAATAATTTAGTAACGACTTGATGTTCAAGAAGTCACCAAATCACTCAACGACAGTGGAGCTTTTGCAAAGCCCAATTTTGAGTGCCGAAATTCGATTACGGTACTACACAGTACAAAAACACTTGAAATAGACAACAGAACAAAACAACTAAAGCAAAAACAGTGAAAACTGCATCGCAACAAGCTGCAAACCTGGCGGCAAAAATGATTTTGTAGAAATAAAAACAATCGTAAAATCACAGGTTTATTGGTGTTGCAATCTGGAATTACAGGCTTCTTTGATATCCTGTTTCAGTAAGTGCGAATTAAGATTCGTGATTGCATTGCACCTCCAAATTATTTTTACTATTTGGAATTAGTGAGGTCTAAATTTTTCCTAAACCATCATACTACTAAATTGCTGAGGCAGTAGAGATTCAAAGCGTAAACTTGCTGACCGTTGAGAAGCTCTATTCACAACTTGATGTCGTTTCTTATTTTAAGCTTCCTACATTCGGTTCAATGCCTATACTTCAAGACATATAGTGTTTCGGCATTTTTTTATTAATTACGATCTTAAAATATTAATATTAAACGGTAAAAACTGATTGCGCTTTTTAAGGACATCAGGTACGAAAAATTGATTAGGATCATTATATCCCTTTTGAAGCAAAAAAATGCGGCAGGACCTCTAGCGATTCCGTTAAAAATGAAGATCATTTTTAATCAATATGCTGCATTTGTCATTTCTAAGCCGTCTCGTCTAGCTGAGCCGATTTCTCTGCACATCTAAATTGCCTTCCCGTCAGCTATCAGGGATAACTTCGGCATTTTCAGTTTATTTACTTTTCGTATTTGGTTGTTTTTTTATGATTTCCTAGAGTCATTTCCACTTATTTCTAAAGGAGGCATCAGTAATCTGTTTGAAAGATCAATGCTTCAAAGGTCTATCTTGGGTATGTCACTCAAAAATCACTGTTTTTCCACGGATGGATTCCATGCCATTCGCGTTATTTTGGCTTCAAGGTACATTCTAGTAGTTAAGGCAATATTTTAGGGTGGATAGCTTGGCCTTGAGAACTAAGGTTCCGAAATTAAAATGAAGCATTTTTTGGGTGCTCGGTTAATTGTTATTAACTCCTTTTAGCAACAGTCTATTCAATGGGAGCAAACGAGCCAAGATCTGATTTTATCGTATCACACTTTTAGAAGATAACACCTTTTTTAAAGTCTGGCAATGGTCTGGGAAGATTTCGGGAATATCTGATTATTAAATTTGAATGTATTTTAAGCAAACTTTGAGAGTTGGTCGATTGTGTTTCTAATTTATACCAAATATGTAGGGGCAGGCTGGCTCGATGAAATGTAATGGAAAAGAGTGCACAGCTAAACTTAAATGTTATAACTCACAGCAATCAAATCAAATTCTTGGTATCAATAAATGCACTTGAACCAAAGGCTAAACGATTGCTGAGTTAAAACTTGTGTTAATGACTGTTCGGTAAATATTAAGTTCGAAATCTTCTAAAATCAACTTCCTCAAAATCAGTATTTCCAAGTGCTGTGTTTGTCACCTTTTGAATGAATAATGTTTAATTAATAGCCGGATTTGTTTTGTCTATAAATTTGCCATTTTTTTTCGAGTCATATGTCACGATCATGGGTGGACCTTTCCGCATTTCGAATATCCGCTTTTATTAAATAAAAGATAAATAACTTAATGCATTACTTCCTTTGTATTTAATCTTTTTAAATATTTATCGAGTTTTAATAATCAGATGGGCTGTCGTTTCAGCTGACTGAATTTACAAAAACGATAATAAATTTGTTGTTTCGTGACTGTTAATTAAAAGGTCTCGTGTTGATCTTATTATCACTTTTTTATTTGTTGTAATAAAGCATTCTGCTTCTTTGCATAAGCATTCATGCATTTTTTAGGGGAACCTCAGGACTGTGATTTCTGCCGAATAACAGGGAAATATCAAGTAAATAGTGCATATCTAAGCAGTTCTAACTAGTCTTAATACAGAAGAGCAGACCATCGAGCAAAAAGCTACAAACTGGTTTGCGCACGGAATTCAGGGTTTAAAAAAAATGTTTTCAAACATTTAGATAGGCACTTTGAATGGTTTTATTTTAGACAAGTCATAATCGTTACTGTGAAACTGACCGAATTGCTGATCATCAAGCGTAGAATTGTCCGATATATTAAAAGGTAATTTTTGAACGCCGAATTAAGCCTTGACTAAAAAGGACCTTTGAAAGTTGATGGTGTTGTTTGGAGGTGTAGTTCTAAGCTGTTTTGAAATTGCCTCATTATTTTCTTCAGCCGAAGTCATCATTTTACATTAGTCATTAGTGTCAGGTTACTTTGATTTCAAATTAGAAAATTATTTTAAAATAACTTTGCTGTTTGCTTTACGAGAAAATAATTGTAAACAAAGGAAAGGAAAAAGAAATGTTCAAAGTACCATTCGAAAGCACTTCGCCTAATAATTTTTATTTATATCACCGCCTGAAGAGCCGAAACTTTAGTCGAATTCACGACCCTTTCATCTTGTCTTGACTTGTTTCATCGTTTTGAAGCCTAAATATTCGATACTATCTGCGATGGTACGCTAATCAAATATGTTGTTGTTTTCGTTTGCGCCAGGATTTCCTAAGGAGTAATAGTTATTTTTTTCGCTAGCCCATTTTTAACAACTATTAGTTAATTTTAGGACATAGTCTACATTCAAGCAGACGCAATGCGTATACTCAGTCATCACCTTCTTCACCGATTTCTTTTGTTTTATTTTTTTAAGCATTTCTCTTCTAGCCTAGAAATTGTGCATATACTTCGCTTAAGCATCTTAACATGTAGTTAAAAATAGTATACGTCCTAAATCGACCTGGTGTGCAATTGATTTATATGATACAACTCACCTTATTTCCATTAAAGTAAACAAGTAGTTCATTATGCATTCAGGTTTAAATCATCAAAATTGAAACAACTAAATCTGTGCCTCCTAGAAAATGGTATGGAGTCCTTGTCTGAAATTCAGCCCAACGTATTGAAGTGATGCTTTTAAATGTAGAGGTCTTAGCCCAAAACGAGTACTGAATAATATTAATATGCCTCGCAGGATATGCACATTGTTAAATTCATGTAAGAAGACTAAAAGACAATATATTACTTATCTTAGCACAACTAACTGATATTAATTAAAAGCAATCTCCGTATTTAAAAACGTACTTCTTGGTTAGACTTATCCTATTCTCTAAATCAGCCTTTATTAGGCTTGTTTTATTTTTGATTCGTTCTCAGTGAAAAGTGCTATTTGGCTAGTAGACGATATACGCATGATTATCCGTATGCCCAAATAAAATTATTTGTGCGGTTAATGTTCAACATTAATTGTTTGTCCTTTTAATGTATGCATTAAGTTTGGGAGAAAAAACCTAGGTCAGCCACGAATATCCAACAATTCGAAATTTAACAAGCGGGTAAGAGAGTAAAGGCACTTTCAAATGCAAATAAACGACACAAATTATTATACTAGAGCATTTTAGGGGAAACCTAAAGCTTTTAAGCTTTACAAATTGCGATGTGAAAATTGATCAACCAGAGTCTACTAAACTGAAAAGGCCGCTTATTATATACTGCTTTGAATCTATACCTCTCCCTGGTTTGTTGTTGATCTTCCACGTAGGCCCTTCACCCGCACAACGACAAAAGACTGGTTGAGCTCGGCGTATGGCAGTACATTCCTAATGTAGAATACCCGAGCCCTAATAGGAAAGAGACCGGTACAACAGAACAGGCTTTATTAACCAATCAGAAGCCAGAGCCACACGTCAGGCGCCTTCCATCCGAGTCCGCCACGCTGGCCACGCCGCTCATTATATACTGCATCTCATCCATGTCCTTCTCTGGTTGGCTGCCTTCCTTTACTGCATGCCATTGGATCGCAGAGACACGGGATTGGCTGAGGCCAGGTGGTCCAACATGTCTGCGCCCCGATCCGACGCCACTGTAGAATACCCGAGCCCTAGTAGGTACAAGACCGGTACAACAGAACGGGCTATATTGACCAATCACAAGCCAGAGCCACGCGTCAGGCGCCTTCCATCCGAGTCCGCCACGCTGGCCACGCCGCTCATTATA